ATTAAAAAACTTCGCTTACAACTTCCGCCTAAAATTTTATCCTAGGTTGTGTGAATTAAAATGGTGGATAGAATTTCAACAAAGTGAATAGGAAGCAAACCAAAGGAGGCCAAAAAGTAGCAAAGTTCGGTATCTATTTATGGAAGGGTCATAAAGCGACCTTCAGTTTTGTTTGGCCATTAAAGTGTAAGTAGTAGTTTCTTATAACCATTTAGCCATCTTCCATCAGCATTGGGCAATGCCAATTTAGGCGAAACAACCACTCTTATTTTGAGTAACTTACCTTGCCACTTTTTAAATTAACAAGAACGTTGAGCAGTATCTCCAAACAGCCATAGGTTAGAATGGTTGGCTCAAAACTCATATGCGTCATGATTATGTTGACGAGGAGAGTGTGGTCGAATAACCCAATCACTTGAGCCACCTCTGATAGGGTCTAAAAGTAAACCAAGTCATTCATACATAAAGCTACCAATCAAAGCTTAGGGATCACATTAATCTCGACCTTTGCAATTAATCATATTACATATTGGTAACATTTCCTGGAGCAGAGGGAGGAGATGAGGTGTGAATAGCAACCGAATTCACCTCAACGACTGCATACTGCTCAGACATAGACTCGTATAATAGAACAGAAAAGGAATAAGGTTAGTTGTGAGGATGGTAGAACCTCAAATGATCATAAAAAGATGGAAAATGAATAAAAAGTAAAGATAACGACAAATCTTCGTTCACATAAGCCAGTTAGCGCATTACAGCTAGTTTGCTTCCTCATTAAGCTCCACCAAGCCACAGAAGCTTACTAGGCGCTAACTCCCCATCATTGTGTTGTTCCGAGAGTTTGATCTCATTACACTTTTTAATTTGCGGAGATTCCCACTGGCCATGCATAGAAGAGCTCCAAAAATCGTAAGCATGGCCGACATAAACTGGATAAAATAGGGATCCCCAGAAGCCCGAGGCCAAAATAAATTATTGTGAGTGGATAAAATCGCTGAAATGATGGGAGAGAGTGGACTCAAATTGGTGTAAGACCAGATCACTAACCTGAAGAGCAAGATGCCTTACTGAGGCGTTGATGTCACAGGTACATTCAACAGCCGCATGAAGGGCAACAGTAAGACAAGTTCGAAAGCTGCTGTTGGAAGAGGGCAATGGGCTTGTAGGAAGCGATGCAGTTGAGGAGAGACCAGAGAGAGAAGCAATACCGCTGGTGTCTGAGGAGAGGCTGCGTTCCACAAAACTGGTGCTAGAACCGCTTGAGCGACTGCTCTTTGAGGAGACAGCTGAACGCATATTCCATATTGCCTGTTGCAGCTAAGGCAAGAAACAAAGTATGACTGATGAGATTAAAACGAATACTCATGCCTACATGGAAAGCAAAGCGATTGTCAGACCTCCTCATGTTGCCTCATGAAGGCAAAAAATCATTCAGCCTCTGATGTACCTCGCAATAAATATCTATTGCATTGTAATTTGGCTTAGAGGTGGATAAGCTTCATCCAATTAGTTCAGACTTGTCCTCTTTACTATTTTAACTGTTCCTTAACTTGTTGAATTAGCGATTTAACTTGACGCAACACAGGCGCGATAACTTGTTTCCTCAAAACGCGAAAGGGAAGAACGGCCAGCATGAAATTCAAGGGGATCTAGTGAACCAGCTGCACACCTTGGAGCAAGGATACATCTTGAGTGACCTGCAATGCATGGCCACGCGCACGACAGCAACGAGAACATGCCCCTACTGTTTTTTGCTCTTCGTTGGACACGAGTATGAGGCTCGTGTGTTAATGGGATAGAGTAGTGCATCAGAAATGGGGGTTTAGGAAATAAACCCCATAATAAGTACTGGCTACGACACCCAAAACGACGGTAAGACTATGCGATCCGTAAATAGATCTTTTTGGAGACCATCGGTCGGATTATGCTGACCTCGCCATCGACGTCCAGGGAGAACGCTGATACTGTCTTCTCAATACAAACCGCCTACATTAAGCAGTGTTAGAAGTCTTCTATTCACTAATCCCTTTGACTCAAGGCTTTAAAATTGACGACAGGAAGGGAGGAGTGAAGGAGATAAGAGAATGGGACTGCTAGGGAAGTGGTAACACAATTCGCTGTCAAGATGTTTCATACATTCTCGTGAATACGTTCAACGAAAACTCACTGATGGTAAATCAAATTCAACAGACGCTCTAGCTAACTTTAAAATCGAGGAATAAGGAATAGGAATGCCAAAAAGGATAACTGATTAAGAGTATAAATGAACAATCGAATAAGAACAAAAGACAACTTGATTTTGAGGAAAAGTAAACACTCCTTTAATTCATTACCTCATTGGTTTCCAACTGCTTTAGACGCACTAACAACGGCGCCGCTTCAGTGACTTCACTTTGCTTGCTGAAGTCGGAAATGACGTGCTTAATCTTGGAGCGAAAGGGCAAATACTCAATGATAAAGCACAATAAGTCACTTGCCTGTTGCGAAAAATAGTACTTGACTTCTACGGGAGAGAGGGAGGAAAACGTGAGACATTAAAGTCGTTGCTAGGTGACAGAATAGATGGCAGAAGGGAGAGACAGAAACTTACTTGATAGGTAAAAGTAAACCTGCGCCCAATGCGAGGATCGAAAAGAGGCGAAAAAACGGACTTCTTTGGCTTTGCTGAAGGAAGGGGAATCCAATTAAACTCACAACATTGGTGCTGTCTATCCTCAGTCTATTCAGTAATTTAAAACGATCGATCCCCATGCATACGAAAAAATGGTGGCCAAAAACAAGGAATGAATGATCAGATAAAGTTTCCATTTTCCGACGAATAATCACCTCAACAAATCCTTTCGATG